TTTTCTATAAAAGTCTGAGGGCAAGAGGGTGCATTGCTAAAACTCACCCCTAAATCGGATTATTTTTGCTAATATATTTCCTTCTTCCCCCAAATTGTTTCCGTAGTAACATTACAGCCATCTCTGCTTAATCATCCAAGTGAAAGATTCCTTATGGAGCTCTCTTCAGACTCCCCACAGAAAAGGTTTCTCTACAGGAGAGGCTGAGCCAGGCCAATGGGACTTCAAGGTCACAGGAGGTTCGTGGCCATGCCAGGAACTGACCGCAGATCATTACAGCACTCAGCCCTGTGCCTTAACCACCAGAGTATCCTTGTGGTTAGAGGGCAGATTAAAGCCAGTTATAAACTGCTAATTTACTATGGCAGGAACCCAGCCAAAGGGGCATTACCACTGAATGCAGGAAACCAAAACCAAAGGTAAGTCCTCAGCAAGGGCACTAGAGACGCCCATTGGCAATGCGCCAATGGTGGGGCAGACACCTTTCACAGCAGCAGAGACCAGATGCTAAGGACCATATGGTCAAAAGTAGCTACTGATTTTAGGGGCCTCCAGTTTTTGGTGACCAGCTGAGCTGTCTTGGCCTGCACATATAGCTCCAGCGGATGCCCACTGGAGCTCCAGGCACATTCGGTGTTTCAGTCTGGGTGTCCCAGAACTTTAGCAGCCAGGCTCACTAAGTGTTGGCCTGTGTACTTAGTGCACCGATGGTAATAAGAGGTCAGCACCCCCAGCTACCACGAGGGTTAATGGCTGGGGGCTTTGAATGGGGAGGGCTGCCACAGAAGGGTTTGCATTTGCATTTTACCCCATTGCTGGAGTTTGTTATTTTCCTTAAGCTTGTCATCATTTCCAGGAGGCCCAACTGGCTCCTTCCTCTGCAGGGCTAGATGGTGCCTGTCGGCACAGCCATGGGTGCGACGGGGAGGAGCCCTGGGAGCCCTTGTGACTGACCCACAATTTTCTCCGGCTTCATCCGAGCTCAGAAGGAGTCACAGATTCCAAGGGCAGAAGGACCATTGTGATCATCTAGTGTGACCCCTGTGCGACACAGGCCGGAGACCTCACCGGCCTCCCTCCCAGAACTGGTGGTGGGGATCTTCTGATGGCTATTCCACTTGCACAGTGACCCCTCGACGCTGAGTCAGCCACACGGGCCTGTCCATTGCGGGGACAGTGCCAAGGATCCCTTGCTGCAGTTCGCCCACCCAGGAGAGTTTGGGAAGTGGTACTCGTGCCCTGTGCAGGGGACGCCAAGGCATGACTGAGTGCAGCGTGCCAACAATTACAGGCATGCACATGCACAAACTTGGGTGCAGAAGTGCCCTGAAAAGCCTTCCAGCTCTTTGCTGAGATGTGAGGGCGGGAAAGCTAGGAAGGACACGCTGAGAAACAAAACAGATTTACCAGCGTCTGTGGTGGAGCTGCGGGTGAGTCATACCTGCCAGCCCCTCCCTTCTGCCTGCTATGAACGTTTTGTCCCCGCAGGGAAACAAGTGTGCGGTAATTAGCCGTCAGAACCACGGCCAGGGGAGCTGGGGACGTCCACAGCTGCTCTCTGAAGAGCTGCAGCAGCTAGCGAGAAGCCAGGCGCAGAGAGGGAAGCCAAGTATCCGCCGCCTCTGCTCTCGCCAGGCTTCGGGGGAGCTACAGAACCGGGGGGTTGAAGGAGAGCGGGCGAGAGCGCCCGAAACGCGCAGCTGCGTCCGGGGCTGTGACCAGCCAGCCAGGCGACAGGGCGCTGCAGGGTTCCCGCTGCCTGCTTGTCACACGCGCACGCAGGCTTGTGGTCCGGGCAACCGCCTGCGCAGCTCCTGCACCGGCGCGTCGGACGCTGGCTTGCTGAGGACGCTCCGGTCCCTTCCAGCTCCAGGTGAGTGCAAACTTTGCCCTGGGGAGCTGGAGGGGGGAACTCGGGGGTGCCACGGACGCTGCTGCTGCAGCGAGAGGGCCGCAGAGGGGTGTGGGCATGAGGGACCCGAACTGCCCTGGCACTACCCTGCCAGGGCCCGGGGGAAGCAAGTGCCCCGTGCAGGAAGAGGCGCGGAACAGCACCAGGCGTTGCCGCCCTTTGCAATGTGGAAAGGTAGGGAGTTGGCTCTGCTGGCTGTTGGTGCATTCAGATTATTATTTCTTCTGCTTTCACCAGATATTTTGCTCTAAACACGGAGCCGCTGGAGACGAATTAGCTGCTGCACGTTCCTATTTTACACGATCACTGAGGAAGATAGTTTATGTAGTCAGCGGCGGATTCTGTCACCTTGTGTACAGTGAGCGGTACCGTATTGTGTGTCTCACACCCCCCCACTGATTTCAGAACCAATGGTAACGGGGGTCAACAGGAACACGGGCAAAAGCGCGGTGCGCACCAACAAGAGTAAAGGTGGCAGAACCGAGCCGCGGAGCAGGACACGTGCTGCAGCCGAGAAAGGGATGCACATGCGGGGGGGGGGGGGGTTCAGCTTTTCACGGTCGCCTTTTGGTTCCCGGTGGCAGGAAAAAGGGGGTATCTAAAAATAGCCCCGTAAACACCCAGTCGCGGGAGAGCCCACTGGCAGCGCAGCGGCGGTGTGCGAAGCGCCGCCGTGCGGGTTCGCCGGTGAGTGCTCCTGAGGCCACGCTCCCCGGGAGACCCCCCGCTCAGCAGCTGCGGCCGCCGGGCAGGCACCGCGCGGAGCGCTCGAAGGAGCCGGCGGGGGGGACAGGCCCGGCTTGGCGGCAGCCGGCGCACAACGAGCCCTTGGCGTGGCCGCGGGGTGCGGCGTCCGAGCCCAGAGCCCGCTCCCCGCGGCGGGACGGGCTTCCGCAAGGCAGGAGCCCGCGCACCCGGGGCGAGAACTTGCCGCTCGCGGGCGCCTCTGGCACGCAGACGCTGAGGCCCCGAGCCCCAAAGAAACGGGGGCACCTGGCTCCCGCTGAAATCCTGAGCCCCTGCTGCGAGGTGCCTCGGAAGCCCTGGGCCGTGCTCCAGCGCCCCAGCCCTTTCTGCTGCTTGGGCGCTCGGGACCAGACCATGGCCTGCCCCATCTCCACCTGCGGGGATTCAGCTGCCCGTGGAGCCAGGGCCGATCAGCCCAACGGGGCTCCGAGGGCTGGGCTTGGGACGACTCCGACTGTATGTGACCAGCGCGTGTTTGCGGGACGCAGCCTACAGCTTGCGGCCCCTTTCGGGAGGAAAGATGCGCTATGGGGGGGGGGGGGGGGGGGGAGCAGTGGGTTTGGCCCTGACTCTGCTCGTGGTGAAGCCGGGGGAGTTTCAGCACCGACACCCATGGGGCGAGGCCAGCACTGTCAGCAGTGAGGAGCACCTACCCCCAAGCGAGGTCCCTGGGCCCGCACCTCTGGCCCCAGGCCCCGAGAGGAACACTCAGGGCTGGCCACAGGACTCTGCAAACCTGTGGAAGGGCGGAGCGCTCTGCCCACGTTGCTCTAAACTGTTGTTCCAAACAGGGGTGGCAGGTTTGTAGAAATGTTGGTGGTGCCCAGAACCCGCCCCCGCCCAAACTCCGCCCCCCCCACCTGCCCAAGGCTCTGGGAGGGAGTTTGGGTGGGGGAGGAGGTCTGGGATGCAGGCCCTAGGCTGGGGCAGGGGATTGGGGTGCAGGCTCTGGGAGGGGGTGTGGAGGGAGGGGGTGCAGGGGTGAGGGCTGTGGGGTATGGGAGGGGCTCAGGGCAAGAGTAGGGGTGTAGGGGGTGAGGGCTCTGTCTGGGGCTGGGAATGAGGAGTTTGTGTGTGGGAGGGGCTCAGGGTGAGAGTAGGAGTGGGGGGGGTGAGGGCTCTGTCTGGGGCTGGTGGGTTTGGGGGGTTAGAGAGGCTCAGGGCTGAGGCAGAGGGTTAGGGTGTGGGGGGGTGAGGGCTCTGGCTGGGGCTGGAGATGAGGGGTTTGTGCTGTTGGAGGGGGCTCAGGGCTAGGGCAGAGGGTTAGGGTGTGGGGGAATGAGGGCTCGGGCTGGGGGGGTTGGGGTGTTAGAGCGGCTCAGGGCTGGGGCAGAGGGTTGGAGCGCAGGGGGATGCGGGCTCTGGCTGGGACTGGAGATAAGGTGTTTGGGGTGTTAGAGAGGCTCAGGGCTAGGGTAGAGGGTGGGGGGGGTGAAAGCTCTGGCTGGGGGTGTGGGCTCTGGGGTGGGGCAGGGCTGGGGATGAGTTTGGGGTGCAGGCAGGCTGCTCTGGGACAGGGACCAGAGAGGAGGATTCCCGCCAGCCCTTTCCCTGCCAGCAGTAGCAAGCTCTGGGGGAGGACCTCCCCTTTCCCGCCCCCCCAGCGGCGCACTCACCCCCACAACTGTCACTGCATGTGCTCCTAGGGGCCCTCTCAGGTCCAGGAATCTCCCTCGCCTCCCCCAGGGTGGGTCCCGGGGGGTGCTGCGTGCGCCTCCTCCCCTGCCCTTGCCCCGACTGTAGCCTCACTGGGGGTGAGGCTGCCTCCTTGCCCAGCATGGGGCAGGAGCGGTGACTGCGGGCGAGGGGGCCCTGGGCTGGTGGAGGGTCGCGCCGGAAAAGGGAAGGGTCTGAGGGGGAAGGGCAGGCTCAGAGTCAGTCTGCCCTGGCAGGGGAGTTGGGGGGCACTAGGACCCCGGGGCAGCAGTTGCTGCAGGGAGGCAGCATGGAGCTGCGGGGAAGAGGCAGAGGCAGGGACGCTCTGCTCCGGGGCCTGGGAGGCGCGCAGGGGGCTGGGGGCAGCAAGAGGGGCCGGGCCCGTGGGCTCTGACTATTGCTGGTGCTAAGGCACCACGTGGAGATAGAACTCGCCGCCTCTGGTTCCAAAGAAATATCTCCAGGCTGCTCAGGCAGAGGACCCTGCCTGCAGCCCCGCACTGGGTGAGGAAGCCCTCTCCTGCAGGCAGGGTCCTCTGCCTGAGCAGCCGCTCGCAGCCTGGCTCTCTCCTGCTTTGCCTGGGGAGCCCAGCGCCTGCCACCCTGCTTCTCCACAGGGACGCAGTCGGGCTGCCGCGTTTGCCGCCAGTCGCAGCGCCGCCTTCGCTGAGCGACACCTGCCTGGAGGCCAGGGGGCTGCCGCGAGCCGGGGCAGCAAGGCTCCCCCGGGTTAGGGGTCTGTTCGGGAGTGGGGCAGCGAGCCAGAAAAGGCTCCCGGGGAAGCCGGCACTGTGCGCAGCCCGCCCCGAGAGCAAGGCTTGGCAGCGCGCTGGGAAGAGCTGTTGTTAGCAGGTCGCTGATGCTCATTGGCTTTAATGCCCGGGGGGTGGGCCCCTGTGAGAGAGAAAGCATTGCACGGGGGCGTGGGGATAGGCTGGGCCCCTGTTCATTGCATTGCTCCTTTATTTTCACTTTTATTCCATAGAAAGGGAAACGCTCTGACTTTTGTTCCAAGTCTCTGATGATGAGCTTTTCGTTAAAAAGTGTAAACAGGTGGGAAGCGCTTTGTTTACACACCCGCTCCCCACCACTGGTCCCTACCATGCTTACTTGCTTTGCTCTAACGTGACTCGGACTCAGCTGTGACAAGCAGCGCTACCGCGAGAGAGGGGGGCGCTACTAGAGGACACCTCTGTTCTCTGTGAAGTGGCCTTCCTTGCTCGTTTGGAGCAAAGGTGTCGCTGCAGCAGATTCATTGGGGCTTTGCAGAGGGTCAATGTATCCGGCTTTTGTGTTTATGGCTTGGAGGTGCTTTTTTTAAACCCTGAAATCGCATGGGACCTGCATTTCTCCTAGTGTTTCACTGTTTGGCTGATAGTGACTGTGAGAAGACCAGTCTGGAGTGGAAGGTTGTTCCAGTGTTTAAGGCATTACCCTGGGGCGCAGAAGACCATCTAGGTGCCCAGCTTGGCCACAGTCATGTAGCTTCTCTGTACCTCAGTTTCTTCATCTGGACAATGGGGATAATGGCCCTGCCCCACCTCACAGGGGTGGTGTGCGGATTAACAAATTAAATACTGGGAGGTGCACAGCTAATACAGGATAAGAATCATATAAGTAGTCACCTAAGTGGCTCCGCAGAAATATTTTCAAAGTCCATCCAACTACAAAGCTGTCTGGGTTTACATGAACCCAGCAGCGCTGCTCTGTAGGGCTGGGCTTATGCAAGCCCAAATGATTTTCTTCACGGTAATTTTTAAAACCCCTAACAGGTAGTAGCTGTTTAGCCATATGACAAATCACTCGCCCCACGAGCACATTTCCAAATGCAGAAGCCGGCCATTTGCCCCCAGAGGCCCTAGATGAGCACACAAATGCTGCTCTGGGTCAGTATTGAGATGCACTGGCAGAGCCCCACCGTGACAACTGCTTGCGTTAGGGTGTGTTCTACCTGACTGGTCCTTCACTTTAGTATCCCCGCTTGGAAATCTAGGGCTAGATCCTCAGCTGGTGTAAATCAACATCAGTCCAGTGAAATCATAGAATCATAGGACTGGAAGGGACCTCGAGAGGTCATCTAGTCCAGTCCCCTGCACTCAAGGCAGGACTAAGTATTATCTAGACCATCCCTGACAGGGGTTTGTCCAATGTGCTCTTAAAAATCCCCAATGATGGAGATTCCACAACCTCCCATGGCACTTTGTTCCAGTGCTTAACCAGCCTGACAGTTAGGAAGTTTTTCCTAACATCCAACATAAATCGCCCGTGTTTCTTCTTGTCCTATCCTCAGAGGTTAAGGAGAACATTTTTTCTCCCTCTTTCTTGGAACAAACTTTTATGTACTTGAAAATTGTTATCATGTCCCCACTCGGTCTTCTCTTCTCCAGACTAAACAAACCCAATTTTTTCAATCTTCCTTCCTAGGTCATGTTTTCTAGACCTTTAATCATTTTTGTTGCTCTTCTCTGGAATTTCTCCAATTTGTCCACATCTTTCCTGGAATGTGGTGCCCAGAACTGGACACAATACTCCAGTGGAGGTCTAATCAGCATGGAGTAGAGCAGAAGAATTACTTCTCGTGTCTTGCTTACAACACTCCTGCTAATTCATCCCAGAATGATGTTTGCTTTTTTTGCAATAGTGTTACACTGTTGACTCATATTTAGCTTGTGATCCACTATAACCCCGAGATCCCTTTCTGCAGTACTCCTTCCTAGGCAGTCATTTCCCATTTTGTATGTGTTCCTTCCTAAGTGGAGTACTTTGCATTTGTCCTTATTGAATTTCATCCTATTTACTTCAGAATTACTTTAAATCAGGGTGCCCTGCTGACTTACAGCAGCTGAGGATCTAACCAAGATGGCGAGGGTGGTAAGTTCATTCAGGTCCGGGTGTAAACTTGCTGGCTTTGCAGCCGGAGTGTACATGACAAGACAGGTACGTGGTGCGCTGGGAAAGTGCCTCAGAACCCTTATTACTCCTGCATTACTGAGCAAAGTCTAAGGGCTTGTCTACCCTGGCAATTTACAGCGCAGCAACTTTCTGGCTCGGGGGGGTGAAAAAACACCCCCCTGAGTGCAGCAAGTTTCAGCGCTGTAAAGCGCCAGGGTAGACAGTGCCCCAGCGCTGGGAGCTGCGCCCCTGGTGGAGGTGGGATTTTTTAGAGCTGCACCACGACCACTCAAGGCACGTTAAAGTGCCGGCCGCAGCAGCGCTTTCGCGTTGCCAGTGTAGACTGGCCCAGACACAGAGCGCTCAGCCGGGAACATAGGGGCCAACCCCACACTGCTAACACCTGTCTCTCAGCACCTTCAGCTCCCCTGGACTTGACTGGGAGTTGTGGGGTCAGCCAATGCTGAGCGTCTCTCGCCACGTGGCCATAGCAGAAGGACAAACAGGAACGTTTCACCTCTGTGAGAAATAGTTTTGCGTGTGCCAGTCTGTGCCCCATTGTGCCCCAACGTTACTGTAGCCGTGGGAGAAGATCTTACTCATTTGTCACGCAGCCCTCTTGGATGCAAACAACTGGAGGGCCCAATCCTCAGCTGGTGTAAATCAGTGTAGTTCCATTGGATTCAATGGGTCTGACCCCCAGCTGGAGTAAACCGGTGTCACTCCATTGGAGTCCTTCGGCCAGCTCCTCAGCAGGTGGAGTTTCATGGTGAATTCTGACGTCAATGGAGCTATGCTGCTTGACACCCACGGAGGTCCCGGTCCTGTACAGGGACCTCAGCGCTTGTTCCCCCATGCTGGCAACACCGCCGGCCTTCCTGACTCACAAGCTAATGTTTCTGAGTGTTTAGGAGGCATCTGAAAATTCCACCTGGGCAAAATTTCTCAAAACAAAAAAAAATTTGTTAAAATTTGGCCCTTTATCTCCCCCTTCCCCATCCCCTGCCCTGCTCAGGGAATTTTTCACAAAAACATTTTCCTCAAAAAATTTCCATTTGGGGGGGGGAGGCGGGGGGGCAGGGAAAGAAACTTTAGATGAGAAACTTTAAATGAAAATATTTAGCCTGTTGTTCTATTGACTGTTTCTTAATTTTCTTTTTTCAGTTTTGTTTTGTGGGGATTTTTAATGCCAATTTTGATCTATCAATCTAGTCATATAGGAATGTTTTATCCCCAAATCAAAAAATTGTATTGACATTTAAAAAAATGTTTTGAACACTTTTTTCAGTTTTAAAAGCAAAAAATACTGTTTCAAGCAAATCTGCTGAAAATTCAGCAAACCAAACAATGGACTGTTATTCAAACAGTGGAATAATGTTTGCATTTGCCCAAATTTCTGCAAGATTTTAAATCATGATGATCTGTCCCATTGGAAATGGAAATGCAACCTTAGCACTTACAATGGCACTCACCCCAGAACTTACTCAGTGACACCTGGCCCGTACTGCTTCAGTCATTACAGAGTTACAGAAGAGTCGCTTTGTGCATGGTGACTGGAGTAACAATTCTTCTAGGCTCTGTAAACAAGGTATTTATTAGGCGGAGTTTAGGCTGACTACAGTGCAGCTGAGTGGCAAAGACTTGAGAGAGTTATTCAGCTCACGCTAATGAAGTGTCAATGAAATCTGTACTCTTCAGTGCACCAGTCCTGTTTCTGGCCCGTGTTACGGGGCGTCTCTAGTCAAATGCTCAGAGAGCTGGACAGCATTTTACTGGTGCAGTTTTAGCTCTCTTACTCTACACAGCCTTGCGAGGCACAAGTCGGTGCCATGGTGTAGTGTGACATTGTGGCTAGGGCACAGCCGCAGTCTGGGCAGTCTGCATAAGTGCACCCACCTTTGCTAGCTCTGATGGCGCTAAATCAGCACTGGAGCAATGGGGAGAATTTCGGGGAAGCCTCTGGTAGCCCCAGCCACTGTGGGCGGCACAGAACACACGTACACCAGGGAAATAGCTTACCCAACAGCAGAGACCAGGACATGAGCCATCTGAAAGCTTGTGCCTTTTGGGGCTCTATAGCCTATGTGTGCACTGCACACTAAGCACAGGTCTGGGGGACCCAGCCTTGGGGATGCAGAGTTTCCAAGCCCAAGCTTGAGCATCCACACTGCATTATAAACCTGGGTTTACCATTGCTGGACCCTGATCTCACAGCCCTGTTAACGCATCCACACTGCACTGCACAGCCCTCCAGATACAGGTCTGCAGCTAGACCAGCATCTATGCTGCAAAGTGACACGGCTTGGCCCTGAGTCACAGCAGGAGCTAGGCTCTGACCCCACCCTCCAGCAGAATCCTAAAACCCACATCCTGAGTGTCTGATTCTGTGCGGACAGAAGGGGGCATGGCCTCAAACCTGCGTCCAGGCCTGGGCTTAGTGTGCAGTGTAGACACACCCACTGAGCTTGAGGTTACCTCGTGTTTCCAAAGTCTGGGGGAGAGCTATGAAAGCCTCAGATTGGGGCTAGTGAGGGAAAGGGAATCAGCAGCCTGAGGGCCACAGACTGTGAGGCCAGAGATAATGGGTGGCAAACACTGAACAGCAGCCCCCCAGCTGCTCCTGAGCCTGAAGTCATTGCAGGAATATCCCTCCCTGTGGAAACTGCTTTGCCACTGAGCTACCTCCGACTCCAGTCACTCACTGGAGAGTGCTAGAAGAAAGGAAACAGCTGTAAAGTGGAACTGGGGAAACAAATATGCACGTGTTAAATTTCATATGCAAATTTGCACGCATAAAATTAACACATTGTAAAGAATGACAGTTTACTGAGTCCCGTCAGCGTGCCCAGGGCTCTCAGCCTATCACAGCTGGCCCCAGCCCCACTGATCGAGCTTGCACCCCAAGCCAGACACTAGCGCTGCAGTTCAGTTCCGGCTCCAGATCTGAACACCGAGCAGGAGGGGAGGGTGCGTTCCAGGCCCGGGGTCTGGCAAGAGAGGAAGCCGAGGACAGAGGGAGGACATGAGAGTAAAGACAGGAGAGGGTGGGAGCTGGAGGAAAACACATCCCATATACTCATATCTCCCTCGAAACAGTACAGACAATAAAACAGGCCAGGCATTGCTCGGAGATGACACACTCATAGGGCACTCCCGTCTAGCCCGCCCTGCGCGCCCGGCGGGGACTTGCCCAAGCAGATACTAGACAGCTTTTCTACACGGAAACCAGCCCTATCTCTGCAGTGGGCGGCTAGAGACCTGGCCTGGAGGAGGAACCAACACGACTCTGCTGTATGGCGAGGCACGACAGCTTTCCCTTGGGTGGTTTCCTCAGGGCCCATACCCCACAGAGTTGCAGAACAGCAGAGCGAGGGGTGAATTACAGGCAGACACAGTCAGAAATATCCGGTTTTGGAGCAGGTCTGAAGATGGGGCACAGAGACAGATGGACATTTCCAAACAGCTGGTGGCAGAGGAAAGAGGGATGCAAAGACCTGAGTCAGCCCCTGCTCTGCCCCAGACTCCCTGGGGCCCTATGCATGTCACTTACTCTCCCCTGTGTTCCAGCTCCCACCTGTGTGGTGAGGCTAACACTGTGGCCCTGCCCCATGGGGTGTTGGGAAGGCAAATGCGCTGAGCAGCACGAGTGCTCAGACTGTATGGGACTGGGGCCTATATAGATATATAGGTGCTTAGACAGGTGCTTGGCATCTAGGAGGGGACATGTTGCTCCCTGCTTCCCAGCCCACACAATGGAGATGGTGGAGATGCAGCGATTCCTCTAGACCAGGGGAATGCCCATGAAGACTTACATCAGCTTTGTAGCCATTGATACTGGGAGTGTGAGGCCAAGTGTTTGCTTCTGGGCTGAGGCTCCAGCCCAGAGTGCCTGGGGCAATGATGGTAGGTGCAGGAGTCACTGGGGGCTGCTCCCTCACCAGGGGAGCCCACGCTGGCCTAGCATGGCTAGCATCAGCTTCTTTGGAGAGCCTGCCCCTTTCCCGAGCGAAGCCCCCTGTGAGCGCACGGGACATCACCTCCAGGTCGGGGCCGGAATTTGCTCTTCCCTACTCCTTCCAGTTCAGCCAGAAGCATTGGGGTTTGCAGCGTGCTCCCTTGCCGGATGGCAGGCAGGGAACTGGCCTTCGGCAAACTACACCAGCTACCAGTGAGACAATTCCAGGCATTGGGATGGACTCAGCCAGCCTGGCAAATCTAGTCCCTAGGTACTTGCAGGACCATTTATTTCCTTCTAGCTCCCCCAAGGCAGTTACGATCAGCCGGGTTATCCTTTGCTCGCCAGCCTAAATTTTAGCCTATGCTGGGCAGAGGCCTCCTTGGGCTCTGTTTGTTTAACCCTACCCATCAGCATCTGCTCAGCACCTCTGAAAATCAGGGTATTTTAATTAAGGTGCCTACAACCAGATTTAGGTTTCCAGTTTGGGGCCACTATCTTTTTGCACAAACCCCGCCTGTCAAAGCCACAGCGAGTCTGTGTCTACACCACAGTCAGAAGGTGTGACTGCAGCACGTCTACACACACAGTACCTGAGCTACCGTTGAGCTAGGGCGAGCGGCTCAAGTACACACCCAAGTCCCGAATGGGGCTAGCCGGGCCACTGCCCTTGCTGTCACAGCTTCACTGCTATGGTCACTTTGAGCGAGCTAGATCCAAGCTGGCTCGGGTACGTCTACACATGCTGCCTCCCCACTGCTGGGTAGGCAAACCCACTTTGTCTCTTGACTGTGTGCTCTGTTGGAGTCACTCAGCTTTCTATGCAGAGTACTCCACATTGCTGACCAGGCAGGAGGACACTGACCTTCCTGTGGCTGAGTGCTGGAGGACGCAGGTGAAGGTTTATCCCTTAGGATAGCATTCTACTCATTTTGTTTGTGTGGGTCACTAGTGACCAAATGAGGGTGTGGCAGTAATTAAGTTTGCACAAGCAATGATGTTCTATTACTTTCAAGAGGTGAGCGAGTTGGTCATTCGTTTGTTTCGTAACGAGAAATCAGCTGGTCCCACCCACTTCACACCCCAGTACATCCCAGAGCCATGGGTGTGGTTACTGTCCTGCAGCATTCTCGGACACAAGAAAAAAGCTCTGTGTTTGAGCAACCAATGAGTCATGTGATGTTGGGCACAGTCCTATTTATGATCACTTTCCATATTGCCAAACAGTGATTTCACTAGCAAATGCCGCCTTCTGCAGAAGTGGCTTGAACAGGAGTTTCCAGACAGGGTGTTGGCAGCAGAAAGCTCAAAGGGCTTTGAGACAGAGAGTAACATTTCAAAAGCCCCTCTGTGACTTATGAGCATTTGCCCCATTTTCAGAAATGACTTTGGCAGTTAGGAGTGAAAGTCCCATCGGCTTTCAATAAGACCTCGGCACTTTAGAGTCTATGACTGTCGGCCTCGAAAGTGCCACCCTGGTTTGTGAGCCTGGGGGGTTGTACCAAGTCCTGCTGGGACATGAAAACACAGCTGCTACAGGGGGCTCCTGAGAGATTCCTAGCAATCGCTGGTGACAAAGCAGGATATAAGGTTTGATTCTGACGTCAGAATCTGCTGCCTTTTCACAGCAAGTTCAAGCCAGATCTTAGTTGTGTTTTGGAGCAGGGAAGTAGCAATGGGGAGGGTGGAATTTCCACCTCCACAAGTTCACCTGTGCCTGGAGACCATTTGCCCTCAGCTGTCCATGGCACTAACCCAGGCTAGCTCCAATGAGATGCCAAGGAGACCTTTCTAGAAACATGTGGCTCTAGCCCTCTCCACCCCCAATTAAAACCTTAGCCATGCCCATCTTTCAGAAACTTAACCTTTAAATTCCCTGGTCACTATTGCAGGTGGTTCTTTCCCATTTCCCAGCACTCAGAGTCCTTGGGAATAAGGAACCATGCACACCTTTTATTTGGGAAAAACACAATCACTATATATTTACCTGCAATAAAACGGGCAAAACCCAAGCTGTCCAATTCTGGTCATCCGTGGATGTGGAAATGTGGAGAAACTGGAAAGGATCCAGAGGTGAGCAACAAAGATGATCAAAGAAATGCAGTGAAAGCCATATGCACAAAGGCTGAAGGAACTGGGTATGTTTAGTTTGGACAAGAGGAGATTAAGGGGGAGATATGAAAGCTGTCTTCAGACACTTGAAAGGCTGCCTTAAAAAAGATGGAGAAAAGTTGTTCTCTCTTGCCACAGAGAACAGGGCAAATGGCAATGGGTTCAACCTACCCCACAGCAGATTTAGATTAAATCTCAGGAAAAACTTCCTAACGGTCAGACCAGTAGGACAATGGAACAGACGCCTAGGGAGATTGTGGAAGCTTCTTCACTGGAGGTTTTCTATAGAAGGCTGGACAGCGCCACCTGTCTTGGATGGTTTAGACACAACAAATGCTGCATCGTGGCAGGGGTTAGACTAACCCGGGCAGTCCCTTCTAACCCTGTGGTTCTATGATCAGGAGTATGGCGCACCCCACAGTCCCACTTATTAAGTGTCCTGCTTTTTGAGGGCCCACAGCTCTATTTACATCCACCTAAAAGCTCACTTGCAGATCCCATTAGGCCCAGTGCTGATCAAGCGGGCGCTAGGAAGCGGCTCCTCAGCTGGGCTGCTCTGGCCCAGCAACATCCACCCCACCAGGCCCCCTGCTGGTCTGTGGCTGTCTCAGGCAGTTCAGCTGCTGCGGCTCTTCCCCTGGCGCTCAGGGCAGGCATGATGTTCAGCTCTAGCTCCGTTGCCATTGCGCAGGCCCCACAACATTCATTTCTGCCACCAGGAAGCCCTCTGCAGTAAAGACAGTGCTATGGAGGGTTCCGAGTCCCCAGCTACAAAACCCAGAGCCAGGCAGGACTCCTGGTCAAACCACTTCCCTTTCCAGCACAGCCCCTCTCTTCCCTTCGGAAGCGGGCATTCCCAACCTGTCAAACCGCACACAACCTGTCAGCTCAGGGTGACCCACTTACTACTGGGCGTATCTTGCACAATTCAAATGCCTTTTCATAACCAGCCACGTTAACACACTGCTGTCATTCCTAGAAACAGAACACAAACAGCTTCCAGACAACGCAACACAACCCACCATGCGTAAGCCAAACTGCAACCCATGTAAGGGAAGCCTGCCACAGCTTGTTCCTTCCCTGTTCTCCTACAGGAGGAGCAGAATAGTGGGAGCTTCTTTCCCATTTCAGCACTCTAGCTCTGGGGCTCACATTGGCAACTGCATGTTTTTCTGACTTGACTGTTCCCTTCCTTCTTTCTTTCTGTCTAGCCTGGCTGTTACACTGAGCCCCCGAACCATCACTCCAACATCAGGCTACAATGCGGCTTCTAGATAGGATCCAGCTATAGCCACAGAGCCGGACTGAACCAGAGTAGAAACCAGGGTAGCTGGACATTATGGTTGATTGGACATTTGGGGACATAAGAAAATATGAATGGCCATACTGGTTCAGACCAAAGGTCCACCCAGCCCAGTATCCTGTCCTCTTGACAGTGGCCAATGCCAGGTGCCCCAGAGGGAGTGAACCTAACAGGTAATGATCAAGTGATCTCTTTCCTGCCATCCATCTCCACCCTCTGACAAACAGAGGCTAGGGACACCATTCCTTACCCATCCTGCTAATAGCCATTAATGGACTTAACCTTCATGAATTTATCTAGTTCTCTTTTAATCCCTGTTATAGTCCTAGTCGTCACAACCTCCTCAGGCAAGGAGTTCCACAGGTTGATTGTGTGCTGTGTGAAGAAGAACTTCCTTTTATTTGTTTTAAACCTGCTACCCATTAATTTCATTTCGTGGCCCCTAGTTCTTATATTATGGGAACAAGTAAAAAACTTTTCCTTATTCACTTTCTCCACACCACTCATGGTTTTATAGACCTCAGTCATATCCCCCCTTAGTCTCCTCTTTTCCAAGCTGAAAAGTCCTGGCCTCTTTAATCTCTCCTCATATGGGACCCATTCCAAACCCCTAATCATTTTAGTTGCCCTTTTCTGAACCTTTTCTAATGCTAGTATATCTTTTTTGAGATGAGGAGACCACATCTGTACGCAGTATTCAAGATGTGGACGTACCATGGATTTATATAAGGGCAATAAGATATTCTCCGTCTTATTCTCTATCCCTTTTTTAATGATTCCTAACATCCTGTTTGCTATTTCGACTGCCGCCGCACACTGCGTGGAAGTCTTCAGACAACTATCCACGATGACTCCAAGATCTCTTTCCTTATTAGTTATAACTAAATTAGCCCCCATCATAGTCTGTGTATTGTTGGGGTTATTTTTTCCAATGTGCATTACTTTACATTTATCCACATTAAATTTTATTTGCCATTTTGTTGCCCAATCACTTAGTTTTGTGAGAGCTTTTTGAAGTTCTTCACAGTCTGCTTTGGTCTTAACTATCTTGAGCAGTTTAGTATCATCTGCAAACTTTGCCACCTGTTTACCCCTTCCTCCAATGCCCTGGATGACAGCTGGGCCAGGGTAAGGCCCAAGGGAAGACATGGCTTTTGAGGAGGGAATGTGAAGGCAGGTGTGGTTGTATAGGCCAGGGGCTTAGAGGGGATGTCCCAGGCACAGGGGCAGCATAAGACTCTAAAAGCTATTCCATTTGTAAAGAGCTCTGACTCCTTTACTGCAGTTCTCTGTGGTGACTTGGAGAACAATACTAATGCGTCACACAACTCTGCCGGCACTGCGTGGGGTGACAGCACATTGCCGGGACACATTTCCACAGCCCTGTGCCTCAGGTGGTCTTTGCATCCTCGGCCTGTGCAACAGCTTGTAGATTGATGCACAAATTAGGTTTTTGCCCCTCTGTTGAGTGGTAATAGAGGTCAGCACTTTGCAGGTCACCTGCCCAGTGACCCAGGGACATCCCAATGCAAACTGACTTTCTGAAATGAAAAGTCAAAACATTTCATTTCAGAACTGCTGAAACAAACTGTTTCAACCTTTCCAAGGGAAAAAACATTCAACAAAAACAATTTGCTGAATTCACAAATTGTTTTGGGCGACCCGAATCTGCATTTGTGTGTGCGTGTGCAAACAAAGGTTTTGCATGAAATATTTCCCCCAACTCTGCATACTAGAAATGCACTAGGGCCTACAAACAGAATGGTAACCTGGAAGAACACAGGAATGCTTTTGGAGCTGCTAAGGTTAGAGTTTATGCAGCTACGTCTTCTTGGTGTCTAAGAGCTAGCAAACAAACATTTGTTTTGCAGTCCTCCAACAGAGTATGAACCTGTGTCACAACCATGTGAAATAGTGTGAACTGCTCAGCCTGAGGGTGAGAAGTGTGTCAGGATACTACAGAAATCCCCTAGCAACGAAACTGAAGATGGGCACGGGAAACTCCGGCTTAGCACACACAAGAAATATTCCCACAATCCGTAGTTCAAAACTTGTGACAGGGTCGTTAGTGCCTTGGAAGTTTGCTGGGTAACGTTTCCCCAAGGTGATCTCAGGTGTGGAAAATCTTGCACTCTATTTGATGCTTTCCTGGAGGACTGCATTCCTTGTCTACGTTGGGCTCTTTGGGAATGGATGTGCATCCTCCTGAGAGCCCAGTGCCAGTAGAACCATAAAGCACTTGGAGATTGGTATTTGTGGGGTGACTAAGAACAAACCATGGGGCCCTGGGCTGCGTGGGGAGATGCACTGCTTTGACTGATGGTAGAATCTGCCCCAGCCTTCTCATGCGTTGAAGTGGCATAGGAGAACATGACACTTAACAGACCAAAAACTAAATACTGGAGCGTCCCTGTGCTAAGGGGCTTGCAAGTTGAGGATCTGCATCTGCAAAGACTGAAGCATCTGAATAATTGAGTCGAATGGAGCTTTTCTTGTGCGAGTAAAGTTCCTCATATTCTTAAATCTTTGCAGGACAGGACTGTATGTTGGCCATACACCGTTAGCAGTGCTAATAAACAAGGGGTGGGGGAAGGGACTGGGAAGGAGCAGGACTTCACCAAGGAAAGACCAGGAGGTGCTGGGCCCGGCATGCGCAGTGACCAAAATCAGGACTGGGACATGCTGAGGTGGACCTTCAGGAGAAGTAATGGAGTGGGGGCACAAGGGGACAGTTCTCAACATCCCAGCCCTGCTTCAAGCATGGCTGGTTAGTGAATCCTTTTGTGCCTACACTTTCTACTCAAGAAAATGGGCTAAGCCTCCATCCTCGATGTGCTCCTTCCTGCTCTCGTGTGCCCCTTTACAACCTCTCTGTGCTGCCCCCGCCTTCACCATCTCTCCAGCCCCCCACCCCAAAATCTCACACTGCCACCCCTCGAAAATCCAGCCAGCATGAACCCACCCACCCATGCAGGTGCCTCCCCTTGCCCCCAGCTCCAGTAGGGAGACCAGCTGGCCTGTGGTTATAAGGATAGTCCTGATGTTTGGGGCTTTGCCTTTTATAGGCACCTGTTACCCACATCCCCGTCCTGATTTTTCACATTTGCTCTATGGTCACCCTCAGCTCTAGTCACACACACATACGCCAGCTCCTGCAGGGGACTCATACACAGGCTTCAGACAAACTGCCTCACATCTGCAGCCGCTCCCCCTCCCCCCGTCCTGTCCCGCTCACCCCTCCAAACAGCGACAGAGCCCCCTTCCCTGTTTGCTCTCTTCCGTTCCTTCCTCATGCACTCCCAGAGATTGGAAAGGCTCCCCTGACCACGAGGGAGCAAAACCTGTCCTGCCATTATCAAGGGTGGGAATTTTTCACATAACTTATTTTTTGTTGGAAAAATGCCATTTTGTTAAAACCGAAATGTCTCCTGGGAAAGGGGCAGGTTTGACACATTTCCACTTTCAAAAAAAGTTGGGGGGAAAAATCACAATTGTCAAAAATGTCCTGTTTTGACATTTTCAAAATGAAAAATCCCATTTTCAGTTCAAAGTGACTTTGGTTAAACTTTTAGTTAATTTATAGTTAAAAAAAAACCAGGTTCTCAGAGAAAGGTCAAAATCAAAATGAACAGGAGTACATTCACGAACTAGGTCAGCTCCCAGACTGCTGTGCTGGGCATCACAACATGGGGAATAGATGGCCAGCCCTCTGTGGAGAAAGAGGTGGTTAGGGACTATTTAGAAAAACTGGACGTGCACAAGTCCATGGGGCCGGATGAGTTGCATCCGAGAGTGCTAAAGGAACTGGCGACTGTGATTGCAGAGCCATTGGCCATTATCTTTGAAAACTCGTGGCAAACGGGGGAAGTCCCGGATGACTGGAAAAAGGCTAATGTAGTGCCAATCTTTAAAAAAGGGAAGAAGGAGGATCCTGGGAACTACAGGCCAGTCAGCCTCACTTCAGTCCCCAGAAAAATCATGGAGCAGGTCCTCAAAGAATCAATCCTGAAGCACTTACATGAGAGGAAAGTGATCAGGAACAGTCAGCATGGATTCACCAAGGGAAGGTCATGCCTGACTAATCTAATCGCCTTCTATGATGAGATTACTGGTTCTGTGGATGAAGGGAAAGCAGTGGATGTATTATATCTTGACTTTAGCAAAGCTTTTGACACGGTCTCCCACAGTATTCTTGTCAGCAAGTTAAGGAAGTATGGGCTGGATGAATGCACCATAAGGTGGGAAAATTGGCTAGATTGTCGGGCTCAACAGGTAGTGATCAATGGCTCCATGTCTAGTTGGCAGCCGGTGTCAAGTGGAGTGCCCCAGGGGTCGGTCCTGGGGCCGGTTTTGTTCAATATCTTCATAAATGATCTGGAGGATGGTGTGGATTGCACTCTCAGCAAATTTGCGGATGATACTAAACTGGGAGGAGTGGTAGATACGCTGGAGGGGAGGGATAGGATACAGAGGGACCTAGACAAATTGGAGGATTGGGCCAAAAGAAATCTGATGAGGTTCAATAAGGATAAGTGCAGGGTCCTGCACTTAGGACGGAAGAACCCAATGCACAGCTACAGACTAGGGACCAAATGGCTAGGCAGCAGTTCTGCGGAAAAGGACCTAGGGGTGACAGTGGACGAGAAGCTGGATATGAGCCAGCAGTGTGCCCTTGTTGCCAAGAAGGCCAATGGCATTTTGGGATGTATAAGTAGGGGCATAGCGAGCAGATGGAGGGACGTGATCGTTCCCCTCTATTCGACATTGGTGAGGCCTCATCTGGAGTACTGTGTCCAGTTTTGGGCCCCACACTACAAGAAGGATGTGGATAAATTGGAGAGAGTCCAGCGAACGGCAACAAAAATGATTAGGGGTCTGGAACACATGAGTTATGAGGAGAGGCTGAGGGAACTGGGATTGTTTAGTCTGCAGAAGAGAAGAATGAGGGGGGATTTGATAGCTGCTTTCAACTACCTGAGAGGTAGTTCCAGAGAGGATGGTTCTAGACTATTCTCAGTGGTGGAAGAGGACAGAACAAGGAGTAATGGTCTCAAGTTGCAGTGGGGGAGGTTCAGGTTGGATATTAGGAAAAACTTTTTCACTAGGAGGGTGGTTTGGATTGCCTAGGGAGGTGGTGGAATCTCCTTCCTTAGAAGTTTTTAAGGTCAGGCTTGACAAAGCCCTGGCTGGGATGATTTAATTGGGTATGGATCCTGCTTTTGAGCAGGGGGTTGGACTAGATGATCTCCTGAGGTCCCTTCCAACCCTGATATTCTATGATTCTATGATTTCAATTGACCCAATCGGAAACAAAATGCAGATTTTTCAGTTTGTGAAAATTTTTGACATTTTGACTTTTCTGTCAATTTTGGGACAGAAATTTCTTTTGAACTCTGCACAGTTCTCCTGGGAAGGGAAACCATTTCCTACACTGCTCTAAACATGGCCGATAGGTCACGCTTCAATGCAGTGGTTCTATAAGGTGTCTGGTCGTGCACGGAAGCCCTTCGGTTGCTGATACGCCCAAGGAAAAAAGTGTTCCACAAAAAAACCTTTCGGACATTCTTTCAACATCAGGGAGAAGCAAGAAAAAAGCACAATGCTTTTTTTTTTTTTTGCCTTAGCAGTTACCCTTAATGCACTAATTTGTTACCAGGGCTTGCAGGGCACTACAGGATCCAGAGGGCTAGCTCTCCTAGCGCGATAACTAGCAGCCTCTCCTTCCAGAGCCATGCACATTCCTGTAACATCCCCAACGAGTGATGCCAACGCCTCAAGTTGTGAATAGGAATCAGCCCTGCAGGAGGCTGCTGGAACTGTAAACATGGCAAAATAGCTTTGCCCAGCAGAGCACGGAATCAGCATGGAAAGAGGTGTTATTTTCTGCTCTACCGGGCTGTTACAGCTCAAGCAGATAGATATGCATTGATGTGAACTAGCTAATGCTCTCCCCAGATTTCCACTGTCCCAAATTCCAATTATGCCTTTCTGCTAATCTTTGGGCTGAGCAGTTGCAATCACACAAGCCCAATATTCTGTCCCCTCTACCATCTGGTGAAGGGTCTGTGCCAGCTCCCAGCGGACGGAAGGACTGCTTTTGCTCACGGGGAAGCAGCTCCTGGTGTTACCGGTGAAGGGGCTCTGCTCAAACCCAAGTGGGAACAGAAGATACAGTGATATGGAGCCTCTGAATGGTTTGCAAGTAGCAGACTGAGTATTGCCCTGGGTGCAGACTGCCACGCATTACCTAGCCCGCTGGTCCTGTGCATCAGGAGGGTGGTTACTCTATTCAGGGGTCTTTGGTGGCTGGTTCTCCCCTCCCTACGATAAAGGGGTTTGCTGGGGGAATCCCAACGAGCTAGCGCACTAAATCTCACTCTTTCAGATTAGCCTGGTTTGGGACAGCCCCCAGCATGAGACTGCCCTGGCTTTGGACAGTGTCGCACTCACAACGCATGCAGGCCCCACCAGGCCCAGAGACCACATGCTGCGGCCACTCTGCCTGCTGATCAGAGCTGGCTGCGGCAGTACGGCCTGGAGCTGTGTGTCAAGGGCTGAGCAGAGCACCAGCCGCACAGGGCAGGAGGGGACGCAGCTCCACCGCCTGCTCTGGGCTCAGGCAAGAACCCCCTTCCCCCGGGTCTCTCTCCTCAGCCCCTCGCCCAGCGCCCCGTGTGCAGAGGAAATGGCCACTGAGCAGCTGATGGGCCCCACGGAGGAGCAGCTGGAGATCCTGGAGTATAACTTCAGCAAGGTCAACAAGCACCCGGACCCCACCACCCTGTGCCTCATCGCCGCCGAGGCGGGGCTGTCCGAGGAGGAGACCCTGGTGAGTGAGCAACACGGGCCCCCGGGCCCAAAGCCCTGCTCCTCGGCCCAGAAACCCACTCCCCCCCGACAGCCGCGACCCACTCCTCAACCCACCCCATAACTCCACTCCTCGCCCCATAGCCCTACAGCCCCGACCCACTCCTCAACCCACCCCATAACTCCACTCCTCGCCCCATAGCCCTACAGCCCCGACCCACTCTTCAACCCACCCCATAACTCCACTCCTCGCCCCATAGCCCTACAGCCGCGACCCACTCCTCAACCCACCCCATAACTCCACTGCTTGCCCCATAGCCCTACAGCCCTGACCCACTCCTCAACCCACCCCATAACTCCACTCCTCGCCCCATAGCCCTACAGCCCCAACCCACTCCTCAACCCACCCCATAACTCCACTGCTTGCCCCATAGCCCTACAGCCCCAACCCACTCCTCAACCCACCCCATAAACCCACTCCTTGCCCCATAGCCCTACAGCCCCGACCCACTCCTCAACCCACCCCATAACCCCACCTCACCCAATAACACTGCAGCCCTGACCCACTCCTCAACCCACCCTATAACTCCACTGCTTGCCCCATAGCCCTACAGCCCTGACCCACTCCACAACCCACCCCATAATTCCACTCCCCACCCCATAACCCTACAGCCCCAACCCGTTCCACACCCACTCTATAACTCCACTCCTCGCCCCATAACCCTACAGCGCTCCCCATTTCATAACCCACCCCACAAATCCACTCCCCAAACTATAACCCTACAGCCCCGAACCACTCCACAACCCATCCCATAACTCCACTCCTTGCCCCATAACCCCAGATCTCTGACCCACTCCACAACCCACCCCAAAACTCCACTCCTCGCCGCATAATTCTACAGCCCTGACCCACTCCACAACCCACCTCATAACTCCCTCTTTGTCCCATAACCATGCAGCCCTGACACATTACACAACCCACCCCATATCTCCCTCCTGTCCTCATCACCCTACACGCGCGAACCACTCCACAACCCACCCCATAACTCCACTCCTCGCCCCAAAACCCTACAGCCCCGAGTCACCCACAACCCACCCCATAACTCAACTCCCCAACCTAGAACCCTACTGCCCCGACCCACTCCAGAACCCACCCCATAACTCCACTCCTTGCCCTATAACCCTTTAGCCCCGACCCATTTTGTAACCCACCCCATAACCCTATAGTTCCAACCCACCCCACAACTCACCCCATAACTCCACTCCTCGCCCCATAACCCCAGAGCCCCGACCCACTCCACAACTCACCCCATAACTCCACTCCTGGATCCATAGCCATACAGCCCCGAACCATTCCATACCCACCCCATAACTGCACTCCTTGCCCCATAACCCTACAGCCACGACCCATTCCACAACTCTATAGCTCCTAACCACCCAATCACCCCCTCCCCACCCTATAACCCTATAGCCCCAAGCCACCACATAACCCCATACCCTCATACTCCCAATTCACCCCAACCCTGCTCCGAACTCCACAGTGCTAACTCTGTTGCCTCCACAATCCCACTCTTTTCATCTCCACACCCCTATTCCCTCATAACTGTACAAATCTCACTGCCTCTGCTCCCTACCCCAACAAACCTGCCTCACCCCACATCACCAGAACCCAAACACACTCCTGTATGCTGCCCCCAGAGCCCCCAGCCCTATACCCCAGTGCACCTTGCTCTCCAGCCTTCCAGCCTCACCTCACACTTCGACAGCCCCACTGAGCCCCATATCCCCATCTCACACCAAACCTCCACATGCAAACTCCTCACTTCACCCCACTGCTCCATCTCACCCCACAACCCCATTGCACCAGCTAACCCCTCAGCCCTGCTCCTTGCCTCATGCCACAACCACACTGCACCTCATAACTCCATTCCCCACCCCACAACACCATAACTCTGCTCTGTGATTCACCCCACACCCTCAACCTCAGTCCACGCCATAACCCCACTCTTCATACCACAACACCCCATATCACTGCTCTCCATACCACTAACTCCATATCCTTCTACCCCAACTGCCCCCAGAGTCCTACCCTCCACCCCACAGCCTCATAATCCTGCTCCTCATCTCACAGCACACCTGCATCCCACCCCACACTGCTATAACTCTGCTGTCCGGCGCACAGCCCCATAATCTCACCGCTTACCTCCACAACTCTGCTGTCCTTCTTACACCAGACTCCCACCCCGCCCCATGCCACAGCCCCATACACCCTATGCTCAACACACACCCATGACCCTGCTCCCATCGCGCACCGCATAGCCCCATAAGTGCTCCCCTCCTCCATCCCATGGCCTCAATTTGCCTCCCCAGCCCTGCTCCCAGCTACTTCACCAGCACCTGCCCTTGCTACCCCAGAGCTCCATCCCTTCCCCAGCCTGCTTGGCCTGCCCCTTCTCTCTCTCACACTGTCTGGCATTTCTCTCCTCTTCCTTTCAAGCCTGTTTCTTTCTCTCCCTGTCCCCGCTGGCTCTCCTGGGGAGGCTGAATTGCTGTCACTTCCCCTCCAGGCTGGGCTGGCAGACTCCACTGTGACTCCTCTAGTGCTGGGTTTCCAGCAGCAGCCCTGGCTGTCTCTGCTCTTACAATGCAGGCCAGGCCATTTACAGCACCTTCACAATGGCCCCTTTCTCGCTGGCTGGTCTCTCCTTTTTCTCCTTGGTCCTCGTTTCTGTCCCTTTAAATCAGATCAGTAGCATCAGCTGAATTCTCTGTGGACTAAAAGGGGTCAAAGAAATTCTGAAAGCTCCTTCAATAGGAGGCAGGAGCTGCCAGACTGGCTGCAAGACGCGGGGTTCAGGGTCAGGATTTGGGAGGCCAGTACAGGGAAGGGGGCCAGGTGAGCGCTAGATAGCACAGAGACCAAGCACAATGAGCAGACCCAGGAGAAAGAAGTGGTTTGGGACTATTTAGAAAAGCTGGACGTGCACAAGTCCATGGGGCCGGATGCGTTGCATCCAAGAGTGCTAAAGGAGTTGGCGAATGTGATTGCAGAGCCATTGACCATTATCTTTGAAAACTCATGGCGATCGGAGGAGGACAACTGGAAAAAGGCTAATATAGTGCCCATCTTTAAAAAAGGGAAGAAGGAGGATCCTGGGAACTACAGGCCAGTCAGCCTCACCTCAGTCCCTGGAAAAATCATGGAGCAGGTGCTCAAGGAATCAATTCTGAAGCAATTAGAGGAGAGGAAAGTGATCAGGAACAGTCAGCATGGATTCACCAAGGGCAGGTCATGCCTGACTAATCTAATTGCCTTCTATGACGAGATAACTGGTTCTGTGGATGAAGGGAAAGCAGTGGACGTGTTGTTCCTTGACTTTAGCAAAACTTTTGACCCTGTCTCCCACAGTATTCTTGCCAGCAAGTTAAAGAAGTATGGACTGGATGAATGGACTATAAGGTGGACAGAAAGCTGGCTACATTGTTGGGCTCAACGGGTAGTGATCAATGGCTCCATGTCTAGTTGGCAGCCGGTATCAAGTGGAGTGTCCCAAGGGTCGGTCCTGGGGCCGATTTTGTTCAATATCTTCATAAATAATCTGGAGGATGGTGTGGATTGCACCCTCAGCAAGTTTGCAGATGACACTAAACTGGGAGGAGAGGTAGATTCGCTGGAGGGCAGGGATAGGATACAGAGGGACCTAGACAAGTTGGAGGATTGGGCCAAAAGAAATCTGATGAGGTTCAACAAGGACAAGTGCAGAGTCCTGCACTTAGGACGGAAGAATCCAATGCACCGCTACAGACTAGGGACCGAATGGCTCGGCAGCAGTTCTGCAGAAAAGGACCTAGGGGTTACAGTGGACGACAAGCTGGATATGACTCAGTGTGCCCTTGTTGCCAAGAAGGCCAATGGCATTTTGAGATGTATAAGTAGGGTCATTGCCAGCAGATCGAGGGACATGATCGTTCCCCTCTATTCGACACTGGTGAGGCCTCATCTGGAGTACTGTGTCCAGTTTTGGGCCCCACACTACAAGAAGGATGTGGAAAAATTGGAAAGAGTCCAGCGGAGGGCAACAAAAATGATTAGGGGACTGGAACACATGACTTATGAGGAGAGGCTGAGGGAACTGGGATTGTTTAGTCTGCGGAAGAGAAGAATGAGGGGGGATTTGATAACTGCTTTCAACTACCTGAAGGGGGGTTCCAAAGAGGATGGATCTAGACTGTTCTCAGTGGTAGCAGATGAGAGAACAAGGAGCAATGGTCTCAAGTTGCAGTGTGGGAGGTTTAGGTTGCATGTTAGGAAAAACTTTTTCACTAGGAGGGTGGTGAAGCACTGGAATGTGTTACCTAGGGAGATGGTGGAATCTCCTTCCTTAGAAGTTTTTAAGGTCAGGCTTGACAAAGCCCTGGCTGGGATGATTTAATTGGGGATTGGTCCTGCTTTGAGCAGGGGGTTGGACTAGATGACCTCCTGAGGTCCCTTCCAACCCTGATATTCTATGATTCTATGAGGGTGGAACAGCAAAGCACCCACTGGGCCATTTCCATTTGATAGTTTTCTTTTTGAAAATTGCCAAAGTTGCATCTAAAAAGAAAGCAGCCCCAGGAAAACCGTTTCGCCATGTGCTACAGGCTGCCTCTGAGCTCAGGGGAAGTGAAATGGAAAGGGCCCAGTTCAGATCTCAGACTGTGTAACTCAGAAGTACCATTGCAGTCGGTGGAGTCACAAATGGGCTAAACATAGCGAGACCAGTCTCTGGCCTGGCCCAAGTAAGTGGCCCTGGGGTAATATTCATTCCTTTGTTCACAGCACCCTTCTCCCCCTTCAGTTTACCAGAGTGCAGCTGGCACCAGTAGGGAGCAGTGCAGGTCTCTGTGCTGTGTCTAACACCACGCTGTGCTCCTGGTTCCAAGCTGCTCCGGGGGGGGGGGGGGGGGCAAGAATCAGTTACACACGAGCCTCTTAGTGCTGATCTCCTGATTAAAACAAGCTATCACAAAAGAGAATCCATGCTCCTCATTGGAGTCTCCCCTTAAAGGACTTATTTCCCTGGTTAAAAGATGACATCAGACGATGGGCAGAGCTGCTGCTGTGTGTTAGTTTGTTAGAGATGTGCTATGGCTCTGAAGTTTCACTTCTTTCTTTACAAAGTGACGATCAAATATCGCACAGGGTGCAGAGAACCCGTGTCTCTCTCGTGAAAATTACTGCACATTAAAATGTGACCTTCATAGACAAGCTTGTCTGCTCCTGAACCTGAAATACTCCTACAGAGCTGAGGATGTTTTTTTAAAAAAGGGTTGTTTATGTAATAAATCAAGACTGAGGTTTTAGTTATATGGCACATGTACTGTGTCTAATATTATTAATATCAGTGTTTTCCATCTGCAGTGTCCTCCAGTCAGTAGTCAGACACCAGAGAGACTACTGCTGAAGTGCAAAGTGGTGACTGGTCAACTGTTTGGGACAGGACGTGACAAACAGTGCATCTAAGTGAACTGACAGGGAGAAATTTAAGTAGATATTTACCAGGCTGGAGTTGGGCCAAGATATCCCTGTTAATGATGCTACAATGCTCTTAGGAAAAGTGTTGTGGCACTGGTGTCTCTAGTGACCACAACAGCTCCAAAAACAACTGCTAACAGCAAAATAGTAGATCACAGGCGTAGGAGTGCTGTGCGTATTCGCAGATGGAGAGCAACATTGTACTTATAGGCCATCATGTGCCAGCAATGCCCCTCTGCCATGTACATTGACCAAACCGGACAGTCCCTACGCAAAAGAATCAATGGACACAAATCAGACATCAAGAATTATAACATTCAAAAACAAGTCGGAGAACACTTCAACCTCCCTGGTCACTCAATTACAGACCTAAAAGTCACAATTCTTCAACAAAAAAACTTCAAAAACAGACTCCAACGAGAAACTACAGAACTGGAATTAATTTGCAGACTGGACACCATTAAATTAGGCTTGAATAAGGACTGGCAGTGGATGGGTCATTACACAAAGTAAAATCTATTTCCCCATGCTAATTTTCCCCCTATTGTTACTCACACCTGATTGTCAACTGTTTGAAATGGGCCATCCTGATTATCACTACAAAAGTTTTTCTCCTGCTGATAATAGCCCACCTTAATTGTGTCCAGTTTTGGGCCCCACACTACAAGAAGGTTGTGGAAAAATTGGAAAACATCCAGCGGAGGGCAACAAAAATGATTAGGGGACTGGAACACATGATTTATGAGGAGAGGCTGAGGGAACTGGGATTGTTTAGTCTGCAGAAGAGAAGAATAAGGGGGGGATTGATAGCTGCTTTCAACTACTTGAAAGGGGGTTCCAAAGAGGATGGCTCTAGACTGTTCTCAGTGGTAGCAGATGACAGAACAAGGAGTAATGGTCTCAAGTTGCAGTGGGGGAGGTTTAGTTTGGATTTGAGGAAAAACTTTTTCACTAGGAGGGTGGTGAAGCATTGAAATGGGTTACCTAGGGAAGTGGTTGAATCTCCTTCCTTAGAGGTTTTTAAGGCCCGGCTTGCAAAGTCCTGGCTGGGATGATTTAGTTGGGGATTGGTCCTGCTTTGAGTAGGGGGTTGGACCAGGTGACTTCTTGAGGTCCCTTCCAACCCTGATATTCTATGATTCTATAATTCTATGATTAATCTTGTTAGAGTTGGTATGGCAACCCCCATTTTCTCATGTTCTCTGTCTATATATATATATATATATATATATCTTCCTATTGTATTTTCCACTGCATGCATCTGATGAAGTGGGCTTTAGACCACGAAAGCTTATGCCCAAATAAATTTGTTAGTCTTTAAGGTGCCACAAGTACTCCTCGTTCATTGTACTTTCCGTGTGGATGACTTATTTAAGCTGCTGGCTTTTTATTGAAGGCACATGGCATTGTTGACAGTACACATTTTCTTATGTAAGTGTTAAAAGGTCGCAAAGGCAAACACTAAGGGAATACAGCAGAGCTGAGGCATTATAATATTGTATAGTAGGCATCCATTGAGGATGACTTATTTTAGATTAACAGAAACAAGAAGCAAATTAAAAACAATATGCAATCTCCTGTGGAGAGCACAGTGTGTGTGACTCACTCTATACTACCTGCCATCTTGGGCTAACTCACAGGGCATGCCCCTGCAGACAGACTAGGGAGTTCACTTTACTCTTAAAGGTGCAGAACCTAGAAATTAGCCTACCTGTACCACAGGGATCTAAATTTTTAACCAAACTGTACCTGTATCTGCAGAGAGCCATTCTGCTTCTTCCTCGTGCACTTTGAAATAGTTTCCTCTTTGATTACCACCCTTGTCATCTAAAGCATATGTTGATCCCACCATTGGATGGGAGGATGAGGGTAGTTTCACTACTCCAGGTTTCCCAGCATTGCTGTTCATGCAGTGCCAATCATGTTCTGGTCACTTAGGCAGTACTTACTTCTGTGAATTAGAAAATCAAAAATGTCAGTGTTAAAAATGTGACTTAGATTATCTGTCCTGCAAAATTCTGCAGCAAAAAGACAGAATTTAGTCCTATAGTGAAGATAATTTCCACACTTATATTAAAGTGCGTTGTGATCACAGCCTTCAATATGCCCATACACTTGTACTCACTACCACCAGCCAAGCCCTATTAGTGTGCTTGGAGATCTGCAAACATCAACTCCCATCGTGCACAAAGCTCCATGCAGGTACTTTGCCCATGCAGGATTAGGGCTATAGTGAGGGATTTCCCTACACCCCCCCATGGGGGTGTTTACCACCCCTGAATTTTCCCAACACCCCTCTGCCCAGTTTTGTGAACTAGTTACATGCAGTGTTGCTAATTTAGTGATTGTTTGGAAATTTGAGTTGAAATTGAAACATTAATACACACTTTAAAAGCATATAAAGTGTATGATAAAATATGTGTATCTGAAAAAGTATACTAGATTTGAAAAGTATGAACACAGACTAGCTTCCTTTTACAGCTGTTGTTTTAATGACCATGTCAGTGCATTCATTTTGGTGATGTTGGCCAACCTAATAATTTCAAATTATGATTTGTAAGTAAACTCTAAATGAATTCTCCCTGACAGCTAGTGATGAGCTGGGGTTGGGGGGGAAAGGCTAAAGGACCAGACTGTATTTACATTCCAACCTCATCTACCTAGGTATCGAGCAAACAGAGCTGTGTTGCCCAAGTGATAGATTTTGGCTAGGGTTGGGTTATAAATCACTTGAATGCGAGGTGGGAGATGTAATGAAGTGTTATTTCCATTGTATGAGTAAAGGGCCGTAGAACTGTACTTAGCCTGTGCTGACTGAGGGCATCAAGAGAGAGGGTGGGGACAGGTGTTTTGCTTGATGGTCTGCCTGAGTCACAAGTACTATTAGACCTGCCCCCTCCACTGTTTAAAGACAGAACTGATTAGGCTCCATAGATGGTCTTTTGTTTTGTTAAGTGACCACTACAACTGAAATCACTGATAATCAGGTGCTTAGACCTGCTGTGGGACAGTGTTTCTATGGAAGAGATGGCCCAGTCTGCACTAGCAGCGAGGTTCCCCCCCCCCCCCCGAGAGCTCAGCTGAAACCACAGAGCTGGGTGGAACCTCAAGAGACCAACTCGCAGAGGTCACAGTGGAGGTGGCAGCAGAAGGTGACGGCGCAGGGCCATTGGCAACAGAGCGATGGAGCAAACGGTGGCACAATGAACAACAGTGGCCAGAGTGAACAGTGAGCAGCTGGAGGAATGAGCAAGGTGCCTTCTTGCCCCCTACCTGGGAGATAAACTCATGTGAAAGCACCTCTGAACTCTGAGTCTCCTCTGACCAAGGACAACACCGGTGAGTGTTAATGAGGCTGTTAAGAATGCTGGAGACACAACACAGTTCAAGCGAACAAACATGGCTGTGGCCTCATACTTTTTATTTAGGCAAGAGATACCACACACTACAAACTGGAGGCCAATGTTAAGTGCATTGTCACTTGTTCACCCTGAAGTTGAACACTGGTTCTGAACAAGACCAGCAAATGCTCACTATCTTTCTGCAAGAAACTCAACTGACTGGCTAGACACATGTGGTGCAACAGTGAAAGACACAACAGTTGAAAAAATGAAGAACTCTCTCACCACATTCAAAAAATTTGCATACATGGCTGATGAATGCACTGATGCAAATGAGCACCAACTATTAAGTCATTGTGTACGTTATCTTGATGTCAGTGGTAGGCCAGTAGATGCATTTCTAGATGTTCAAGTTATAGAAGACAGATTGGCTGCATCTGTGACAACCGACATCTTAGAAGAGTTAAATGCTTGTCAATGGGACCCCAAACAGATGGCTGCTTGTGCATTTGATGGAGCTGCAAACTTCTCTGGAAGACATGGTGGAGGACAAGCTTTGCTCAAAGAAAAGTGTAACCCTAGTCTCTCCTATACACCCTGCAGAGGCCATCTACTCCAACTAGCGCTAGTACGAGCTGCAGACTCTTCAAAAGACATTTTAAAAGCTATAAATTTAATGTCTTCATTATACTCTTTTTTCAGCAAGAGTCCAAAAAGACTGAATATCTTGGAAAATATAGAAGATACACTGGGACTGAAGTTCAAATTAGCCCAACCTGGGAAAACCCGCTGGCTTTTTCATCAGCAATCCTTGGCTGTTGTCTTAACAGCCATTCTTACTGGCCATTCTTACTCCAGCCATTCTTACTGGCTTTGGAAAGTATCTACCAAGATGGGATGGATCTGAGTAGTGGGGCTGGTGGATTACTTTTGCTACTACGTTCAGAGAAGACTATTGCCATTCTCTCTCTTGTAAGTCTACTGTTGAAACCACTTGGGTCATTAAACAATGCCATGCAGGCATCTGCTACAACAAGCTACATTTGGATTGATCAGAGAGCTATCCATTAAAAAAGTACTGGAAGAAGCAAAGACTTCAAGTCCAGAAGTTGACTAATGAAGGCATTTATATTGAATCCTTAAGTTAAGAGAACAAGAAGTGTTTGTTAAGACAGCTGAAAAAGTACACAGACTTGAGTCTTAAAAATCTACAACAGCGACTTCTAGATTCTACTCAACCTCTGCGTAGCTTTTACAGATCCCTGTCCTATAAAACACTGACAGTTGAGTGGAGTGAGGCACTACCAGCAATGGGGCTGCCATGTGCGCAGGACAGAATAAAGAATTTGAACACAGCGTGGAATATCATACCATGAATGAATGAAGATTTGACTTCAACTTCTTTTTTATCATCACTAGTGGCTGGACCCGATCTTTGTGCTCTGTTTCCTGGACTGAAAGAAGTAGGAATTCATCTCTTGCTACTCCCAGTCACAACAGCTACAGTTGAGCGTTCTTTTTCATCATTGAATAGAATTTTGTGTTTTGAAAGAAGTCGCCTTCTGCCTGATCATGTGAATGAACTAATGAGCATATCAATTGAAAGAATGGAAGTACCGGACACATGAGAAGCCACCAAAGATGAACGCATTGCATTTGAGAAGTTCATTAACAGAGTTGTGCAAAATTATAACAAGAAACCAAGAAGGATGTAGATGTAGTGCTTCACAGAAGGCTTGAGTAGCCAACTTTAATTTGTGTGATGATTTTAAAATCTAATAAAATGGTCATGAAACATTTTTCAGTTTTTACTATGGTGCCATACAGCCCACCTTCACCCTCACGGTCTCACTCCTCATCGGCCCTGACCCCCTCCCTCCCTCATAAATTTGAACACCCCCACTAAGTTCAATTCCTGGGGAAAACACTGGCTATAGTCCCTGCCCTAGAGAGCTTGCATGACTATTTTACATGTAAAAGGTTTAGTCCAGTGATCCACATTTCTTTCCTCACTCTCTGATATCTACACTAACTGGGAGCACAGGACTGCTGCACACCTGGTATCAAAGCAGCCCCTTGCTGCAAGACAGCCACATCTCTCTCTCTGCGGCTTTCTCCCATCCTGGATCCATCTGTTTTCTGGGCAACAAATCACCTTACCATTGTGATGTAAGACTATTGGAAAACTAGATCCTCCTGATAGAGTCTTTAGAAAGTAGGAATGTAAGACAATGGGTAACATTGTCAAAAGCCCCTAACTGACTTAGGAGCTTTATTCCTGTTGATTTTTGGTGGGACTTTAGGCTCCTAAATCACATAGGCACTTCCAAAATGTTTTACCTTGTGTGTGATTGCAATGGAATAGAAAGTTATTGCAATGCAAAGAAGTTAAGTGCATAAGTCTAATTTCCTTGAAAACTTTCATCTTTGTACATTTCTCTGTTCTCTAGAAATGGTTCAAGCAGCGCCTTGCAGAGTGGAGAAAATCCGAAGGGCTCCCTTCAGAGTGTGGATCCGTTAGAGACTAAGGAGGATGACTAGCTTTTTCCCTACTCACTGTAAACAACTGATTTTGCTTTTCCTTCTCGCAATAGATGTTATGATCCAAAGTAACATCCTGCTGTTTAACATGGTGTTTTATTTAAAATGTACATAACCAGAAAAAAATAATGATATAATACTTTAAACAGCTCTTGTCACATATTATAGAGTGGCTAAGAGGAGAGCAGCTGTACCCTGTTTGGATTAGAGTTCCATATGGCGTATAAATGTAATGTCAGCTGCACAGAGCAGAACCAGTTAAGGACCTAAGCCTTGGCTCTGAGCAAAGCTACTATGAAAGGGCAGAATGATAGTGTGAAAATTTTCCTTTTCTTCTGATCCCCATATGCACACCCAGTGCCAGCATTAACAGTCTCTAGGTTCCTGGAACAGAAAACCAGATGTGTCATTAACCTGAGCTTGCTCAACTCAACACAGAGAGCACTGAAAATCACCACAGAGGAGAACTGAGGACATCCGTAATTACTAGATCATGCCAAGAACCCTTGACTTTATCTGAAGTGTGTCTAATAAATGTCACTGAATGAAAAGGAATATTTTTCTGATGTATTAATAAAATTAGAACTTTTTGTTCAAACTGAAAATATTTGTGTTCTGGTCACACTAAAGTCAGTTCAAGGCCAGATGAGCCCCCACCCTCAGCTCACCTAGTCTGACCTGTATATCGCCGGCCAATGACCACCATCCAGCCACCCGCATGCCAAGCCAAACAACCTGAAGTAGATGTTCACATTATTCAGCATGTTTTTGTCAGCATGTGATGCTCTTAGCCATCAGCTCCCTGACAGCCCATCCAAAGTATTCACTATGACAACACAGGCCCTTTCTTCCCTTCCACACTAACTGTCTTTAAAGGGTTGCTGGCCATTTTGCAGGCCTTCTGCACATGGCAGACCTTGGGGCAGTTTCATGTCCGGAAGGATTTTGTCCCATCTGTTGTATTTTTAAAAAGCTTTTGGGTATGTATTGTTTGTCCTCCAGTTTCCATGCTCAGCCCTTTCTCATGAAAGGAGCAGAAAGGGGCCCCTCCCATTATAGCCAGCAGCCA